TCGTCATTTTTCAGCCCCCGCGAGAGGCTTCCCAGAGGCTCCAGGAGGGCCCATGGCGGCCTCGGGAGTGCCTCGAAGATCTCCGGAGGGCCCCAGGAGGACCCACTCTGCACCGCGCCCCCCTTCTCAACGGAAAGGCCCCCATGATTGAAATTGTTTTCATCATTCCGCCCCCGCGAGAGAGTTCTTAGAGGGCCCACAGAGGCTCCAGGAGGGCCCATGGCGGCCCCGGAAGAGCCTACGAGATCTCAAGAGCCCCCCGGAGGACCCACTTTGAATTACACTCAGGGAGCTCCAGAGTGCCCAGGAGGCTCCAAGAGGCCCCAAGAGGCCCCGAAGAGCCCAAACAGGCCACAGGACCCCCAGCACGCTCTAGGAGAGCCAAGGCGACACCAAGAGGCTCCAGGACGGGCGTCATTCCCTCTCCTCCTCCTGCTCGTCGTCGTCATCCTTCTCCTCATCCGTCCTGCTTCAAATCCTTACTCCCCCTCTTCCTCCTTCTCCTCCTCTTTCTCCTCCTCCTCCTCCTCCTCTTCCTCCTCCTCCGCCTCCTCCTCCTACCTCATCCGTAGCCTCGATGGCTCCGATAGCGCCGTGCGCGAGATCCGCCTCCTCCCCATCCGTCCTCCTCCCTCCTCCCTCCTCCTTCCCTCCTCCCTTCTCCCTCCTCCCCTCTCTCGGGAGCGTCACAAAGAGGCCCTCCGAGGATAATTTCACGACAACAAAGGCGCCGACGCGATGAACAGACACCACGTCGGGACTCTGGGAACGGAGTCGAAGACGAAATCTCGAATAAGTTAGTCTTCGATGTTCGGGGCATTTTTCTGACCACCTGCGAGCCTTGTGGAAATTTCCGGGAGCCTCAGGGGTGGACGTGTGGCGCAAGAACACGAGTGTAGGAGGAGACAACACGACGCTCCACGGAGTAAGCTGCACCCAGTTGGTTTCTACCCCCGTGAGGGGCGTAACAGGGTATACATTTATACATATACATATACATACATTTACACATATATATACATATATATATTTATATAAAGAGGATTTTCGGGTTCGGAAGGGGAAAATTCTAAGCGGAAGAATGGCGGAGGAAAATCAGAAGCAAACGAAAAAACCGAAACGCCAGAAACTCAGTAAAACAAATGAAGAAACCATTGGTTTCCCAAGAAAACATCCGTAACAACCAATCAAGACCAAGGTTTTGGTTTGTTTTTTTTCTGATTTGTTAAAAAAACTCTTCCCCAACAAGTTTTACATTATTATAATTTTTGGTCTCCTAGATTTTCGGGCCCGGAAGGGGAAAGTTCTAAGGGGAAGAAGGGCGGAGGAACATCATAAAAAAAACCCAAACCAGAAAAACCAGAACATCAATAACAAACAAACAAAGCAACCATGGTTTTCCAAGAAAAATCAGCAAGCACAAATCAAAACCAAGGTTTCGGTTGGATTTTTCTGATTTTTAAAACAAGTTTTTTTACACGGATTTTCGTTTTTTGTTGTTGTTGTTGTTGTTGTTGTTGTTGAACATTATTTCTTCTTAAGAATAATTATTGTTGGGACCCCTGGTGCACGGCCCCCCCGCCGCGCCTAGGCCGCAGCTACATTTTCATCATTTTCGTGAGGAAGTCTCAGGCAAAACGATTGTGTCCGGATCCGGTTGTTTTGTTCCCCCCGCTTTCCCTTGCAAAAAACACTATAAAATGAAAATTCTTGTTCTTACTTGATCAAATTGCAAGAATCCCTTGCAAAAAATAAGGTAAAGTGGACATTCGTGCGCGCAAGACGAAATCCTTCCAAAACCTTAGGTTTCGTAGCGATTTTAACATAAAAACATCAAAAAACCAATGGTTTTTCAACAAAAAATTGTCAAAATCTCATCCCGCGCGCTCTTGCGGATTCGTAGGAAAACCAACACTTTTTAAACATTTCTGTCAAACGGGCTTTTGCGAGCAACTTTTTCGAACTTCTGCGACAACGGTTGCGCACCTGCCAGGGCCATCATCCCTGTCAAATAATACCATGCGGGACACATTCGTTTTTTCTTCGCGCGCGCACGCCGAAATCTCCAAAAATCATTGGGTTTTTAAGAATGTTAGCACCGCGCATCATAAAATCACACGAATCGCACCGTAGCTCTCCTCTGGCTCTCTGTCTTGCTCTCTCTCTCTCTCTCTCTCTGTCTCTCTGTCTTGCTCTCTCTCTCTCTCTGTCTTGCTCTCATATCATGCGCAACAAATGCACGATGCGGGGCACATGCGGGGCCCAAACAAGTGATTAACCTCTGCGGGTGTGTACTCCACGCCAGTGTAGTATCCACGATCGTCCGCGCGCCACGAAGTGAAGTGTCCTGACGTCATAGGGCGGGAAGCTGGGTGTGGGTGGTTCCCGAGAGTCGTGTGGATGTTTGGTAGAGCTTGCATTGCCCCCCCACGAAGTGGGGGTATTGGCTGGCGTCGCATGAAAACCCTGGCACTGGGGAGAACACTGAGCGTTCGGGTAAAATGATTGTTGTTGTTGTTGTTGTTGTTGTTGTTGTTGAACATTATTCTTCTAAAGAATAATTATTGTTGGGACCCCTGGTGCACGCCCCCCGCCGCGCCTAGGCCGCAGCCTACATTTTCATCATTTTCGTGAGGAAGTCTCAGGCAAAACGATTGTGTCCGGATCCGGTTGTTTTGTTCCCCCCCGCTTTCCCTTGCAAAAAACAATATAAAATGAAAATTCTTGTTCTTACTTGATCAAATTGCAAGAATCCCTTGCAAAAAATAAGGTAAAGTGGACATTCGTGCGCGCAAGACGAAATCCTTCCAAAACCTTAGGTTTCGTAGCGATTTTAACATAAAAACATCAAAAACCCAATGGTTTTTTAAGAAAAAATTGTCAAAATGTCCTTCCGCGCGCGCTGTCCGAATCCCACAAAACCAATGGTTTTTCAACATTTATGTTACATGAGCTCGCGCGAGCTACTTTTTCTTGTTCTAACATAATCAAATTTCAATAATCCCTTGCAAAAAATAAGGTAAAGTGGACATTCGCGCGCGCAAGACGAAATCCTTCCAGAACCTTAGGTTTCGTAACGATTTCAACATAAAAACATCAAAAAGCCAATGGTTTTTCAAAAAAAAATGTCCAAATTTCATCCCGCGCGCGCTGTCCGACTCCCACAAAACCAATGGTTTTTCAACATTTATGTTACATAAGCTCGCGCGAGCTACTTTTTCTTGTTCTTACATAATCAAATTTCAACATCCCTTGCAAAAAAAAAGTAAAGTGGACATTCGCGCGCGCAAGACCAACAAAAAACACGACGATCTCAGGAACTTGCCCCAAAAATGTGGCCAACTCCGCTCTCTCTGTCTCTCTCTCTGTCTGCTCTCTGTCTCTCTCTGTCTGTCTGTCTGTGTCATGTATTGTATGTCACAATTGCAGGATGCTGGGCACACGCGCGCCCCGAATAAGTGACCAAGTTCTGTGGGTGTGTACCCCACGCCAGTGTAGTAGCCACGGTCGTCCGCACGCCACGAAGTGAAGTGTCCAACGTCATAGGGCGGGAAGCTGGGTTTGGGTGGTCGCGAAGAGTCGTTTGGATATTTGGTAGAGCTTGAACTGCCCCCCCACGAAGTGGGGGTATTGTCTCGCGTCGCATGAAAACCCTGGCACTGGTGAGAACACTGAGCGTTCGGGTAAAATGATTGTTGTTGTTGTTGTTGTTGTTGTTGTTGCTGTTGTTGTTTTGCGTTTTTTTTCCGGGTTTTCGGCTCGGGGTTCCGCTTCCCCACGAAAGAGCGAATTCCATTCGCAATCGCACGAAGGCCTACATAGTCTCTTCTCGCTTTGCCATGCTGTGCTGTGCTATTCCATGCTATGCCATGCTATGCCATGCTATGCCATGCTATGCCATGCTATGCCATTCAAGCATTTGGAACGCCTTGTAACGCCCACAACGTTTACCACCTTATTTCCCCTTATCTCTCATGCCGAGGATGGGGTGGCAATGACTCGGCGCCACCCCAACATACTTGTACTATTTGTGCGTCGCCCCCCCAGGGGCGATGCGCACACCGAGAAATCTTCTACTATATGCGTGGTGGCGGGCGCTTTCTGGCCACACCGCTCGGGAATCGATATGCTACAAGATGGATATATTATATGTTCGGGTCGGACGCGCGCCCCCGAAGAGGACACACAGTCGGAGGTTGGGGAGTGAGATCGCAGTGGAACGGAGACCCCCAATTGGGAAATCGTTTTGTTTCGTTCATGTCGTGCGTGCGGGCGAGGGAAGCTGCGTGGGCGCGCGAGAGGAATGAACCCGCCGTTGCTAGTGCGAAGTCAAGACAGATGTTGCTCCCCCGTCCGTCCGTCCGTTCGTCCGTCCGTCCGGCGTTGGCCCTAGCGGTGTCCTGCGGTGTCCCGTGGTGTCCCGTTGAGTGAGGTCGATAGTGAGATCGATACTGAGATCGATGTTGAGATCGATGTGGTGCCCCGAGGTGTCCCGTGGTGTCCCAAAAAGTGAGGTCGATAGTGAGATCGATAGTGAGGTCGACTGGTGTCCCGTGGTGTCCCGTGGTGTCCCGTTGTGTTCCGTTGAGTGATATCGTCAGTGAGATCGATGGTGAGATCGATGTGGTGTCCCGCGGTGTCCCGTGGTGTCCCTTGGTGTCCCGTGGTGTCCCGTTGAGTGAGATCGATAGTGAGATCGATAGTGAAATCGTTAGTGAGACCGATAGTGGGATCGAGAAGTGTCCCGCGGTGTCCCGTGGTGTCCCGTGGTGGCCCGTGGTGTCCCGTGGCGTCCCGTTGAGTAAGATCGATAGTGAGATCGATAGTGAAATCGACAAGTGTCCCGTGGTGTCCCGAGGTGTCCCGTTGAGTGAGATCGAAAGTGAGATCGATTGAGTCAGATGTTGGTTCCCCCCCTCTCCCCCCCACTACCTCCTTATCGCCCGAAGGGTGGTCGTATAAGTCGTAGTATGTCTCTGTCTGTCCCCCGCTTGCGGCACCCCAGATTCCTCTGCAAGGGCTTTCCCGCCATTCCCTTGGGAAAGGGTGGGCACGCCTCCCTCGGCAGCGGGGTGTGGGTTGGGTATCGTTGTGGGACGTTTTTCCAGTTCATATGGGATGTTCGACAGTGGAGGTCTGCGGGAGCCATCTGGACCCCCCCCCGTGGGAGGCGTCATAGCATCTGCCCGCATGAGGAGTCGTTCTACAAGGTGATGAACAGAGGCATAAACGGCACGCCGTTCATCCTCGAGGGATTGATGCCGCGCTGGAAGGCCATGACCTGGACAGAGGCCGCCCTTCGGTCCGCCATCGGGGATGCGTCGGCGAACAGCCGCGACGTCACCGTCGCAGACTTCTTTGACACAGTGGGGAGCAGCACGCCAGAGAGTTCTAGGCACTTGGCGGAGGAGGAGGAGGAGGAGGAGGAGGAGGAGGAGGAGGAGGAGGAGGAGGAGGAGGAGGGTGGCCTGGGGCTGGACCCCGCCTCGTGCCCGGTCGGGTGGGGGGAGGGCAGCGCCGTGCAGCTCCACCGGAGAGGCACGGGGGCGCAGTGGGTGGGGGTCCGCCGGCCCGCTCCCAGAGGGCGGTCCACTGCACTACACCTTAGGCGATGCTAAAGAAAACTTAAGTTTTCGGCCAGAGTCTCGATTATTCTTAATGTTTCAATGTAAATCCTAAGATTTGAATGGAAATTCTGGGTTTGTAATCAATTTCTGAGACTATGAATTTCTGAACCCATGATTTCTAAAGCATTTCGCAGGGTGTACATCCCCGCGCCAGGTACTTCACGAGCGCCAGTGCTCTCATCGAGCTCGCGGGGGACCTCGAGCCCGACCCCTTCCGCGCGCTGGACTGGATGTTCGACTGGTGGAGCCAGCACGTCATCGGCTACGAGCTCTTCCTGGGCGGTGCCGGGGCGCGGTCCAACCTCCACGTGGACATGTACAACTGGACGGGGACGCACGCCCTGATCTCGGGGGAGAAGGTCTGCAAGGGCTCCCTCGAGGGCACGAAGTTATTCGCGCTTCGCGCTTCGCGGTCCTCGTTCCTTCTCCCCCTCCTCCTCGTCCTCCTATTCTCACTTTGGGAGGGCGGCGCGAGAGCGCGAAGTTATTCGCGCTTCGCGCTTCGCGCAGCGCGAAGCGCGAAGTTGGGAGCCCTAGGTCTGGCGATTCCTGCCCCGGGCGCAGGGCCCGGAGTCCCTGGGGGGCGTCGTCAGGAAGCCCTTCGGCGGGGGGGCCGTCCGAGACTACGTGGCCGAGGTGGACCTCTTCGCCAACGCCACGCCGGGCGCCTGTGGCACGCTGCCGGGAGTGCCGCCGATCGCCGACCGCGGGCCCGATCTGCGGAAGCACCCGGCCGCCGCGGGGCTGATGGAGCAGGTGGTGGAGGTAGTGCAGAGGCCTGGCGAGGTTCTCTAGGGGGAGCGAAACACGGCATGAGCATGAAAATTCGGAGGTCAGCGCGGATTTCCCTGATCGGCGCTTGACCCCCCTCCCTGGCGCGCGGAGCGCGCCAGGGGCGGCGCCGGGGGCGCCGCCAGGGGGTCCAGCGCGGATCCGAGAAATCCGCGCGGACCTCAGAGTTTTTATGCTTATGCCATTCTTCGTCCCCCGATTATCGTCTTGCCTTCTGGTTGGTGGCACCAGACTTTCCACACGGGGCCAACGATCGGTGTCTCTGGGCAATTCATAGCAACCCGTGACGTGCCTGTCTTCGTCAAGGAGGTCTTGGATGCGAACCAAGAGCGAGGCGGTAGAGGTAGAGTGAAGCGTTGCGTTGGGAAGCTGGGTAAAGTAAAGGAGAGTAACGTTGGGGCGGTGTTGGAACGTTTGTACCGTTGCTTGGCCAAGCACGGATGGATAGATGCCGACCCACCACCCCGATTTGAGCATGTGTGGGAGAAACTTCGATTCAAGAGGCCTACGCGCTTCCGCCGACGAGCAGAAGAGGAAAGAAGTAAGCAGAATGGATCCCAACTGGATATGAACTGGGGTTTCTATAATGTTCCAGGATTATTGGCCCGGGTTCATAATGTCTCACCTGGAACATTATGAACCTGGGTTTCAATGTTCTGGGAATATTGACTGGGGTTCATAATGCCCCCCCCGGAACAGTATAAACCCTGGTTTATAATGTTCTGGGGATATCGACCCCAAAAATGATATCAACCTGGGTTCATAATGTTCTGGGAATATTGACTGGGGCTTACAATGCCCCAGGAATAATGAGCCCGGTTTTCGTAATTCTAGAATGATGATAACAATTATTTTTCCCCAGTCCCCGGGTTCCCCGTTAGGTTTTTCATGTCGGAATATTGACCTTGGTTCATTATCTCCAGGAGATAATAAATCCTGATTCATAATGTTCCTGGAATATTGACCCCGGGTTAATGATTCTGGAGTGAATGATTGAGCCTGGGGGACGCCGTTTGAGAGTACGTTCCGGACTGAACCAAACCCTGGTCCATAATGTTGGATAATGATTCGGCCGGGAGTGGATTTGAGCCCGATCCATTCACAGGACAATAATCCATAGGGTATCATCTTAAGATGATGAACCTAGGTTTTCATTCCTAGATACGGTCGACGAGGATTTTGGAGGTGGCTTCGAAGTAAGCGAAAATCGTTCAATTGTTGGTTGGAGGAGTTCAGACGTCTCTGGGAGCCCCCTTGAAGTTTTCTTGGGGCATGTCGGGGGCCTTTGCGGCTAGGCTCTCGGGGGCGACCGTGGATACAAAAAAGAGGATCTTGAACTAAAGCAGCCCCGTCGCAGCACGACAAATCGCTGTTGGGGCGCTCCTGTGATCTTGGGGGCATTTGGGCTCCTTCTGGGCCTCTCGTGGTGGTCTCTCGGGCGACCTCGGGGGGGTCTTAAGGCCATGGAAGCCCATCAAAGCCCATCAGAAGCGAACAAAACTGGCAAAGCAAAACTCATGAGAGGCATCTCTCGTCGGCATCTTTGGGACTCTCGTTGGCAGCTTTGGAAGGTACCATGCCGCTTGGCTTGGAGCCTTTGGCTCCGTCTGAGACCCCCTGCAGCGGTGTCGGGGCCAGAAGGGATGTTCAAGAGCTCAGGGTTCCCACCCCTCAGGCAGGTTTTTTTTTCGATTTCCGAGAGGGGGAACCGGGGGGAGGGGCACCTCCAGTCATCCCAGGGCGCCACCTCGCCCCCCGGCAGGCGGGGGGCGGCGGATCGGGCGAGGAGCTGTAGAGCCTCGCTGGACTGGGACTCCGCAGCACGCCGACATCGCCGACCCGACGAGATGTGAAGGCCCCGCTTCCACGCCCCAGGACCTCGAGCTTGCAGGTGCCGTCCTCCCTCTCGCTCCTGGTCTGGGACCTCGTCCGCTTCGGGGTGTCCGGGAGGGCTGGCGGGAGCCACCCGAGGATCCAGTCGATCCCGCGTGAAGAGCAGGGAAGCTGGCCAGCCAGCGCCGGGCACCCTCGTCGTGTTGGCAGAGTTGGGCGTGACTCGTGCTCGGTCCTGCAGGCGTCCCACTGATGCTGCGTCTCGGCCAGAACCGCGCCAACCTCAAGATCCAATGGGCGTGTTGAAGTAGGGGCACGCAGATCAGTTTCGTCGAGCATTTGGACAGTGACGCTCAGGCTCTGGTACGGCAAGACATTCCTGGATGGCGTAGGGCATTCATCGACATCTGAATTTGCCATTGAGGTCGTGCCTGTCCTCAATTTAGGTTTCCCTCCTCCCTCCCTGCATCCCCCTTCCCTCCTCTCCTGTCCAATGCCCATCCCGTCCACTGCTCCTTCCCGCCCCTCCTCGATCCTTCCCCTCTTTCCCCTCTCCCCCCCCATGTTCTTCCTCTCCTTCCCCCGCTCCTTCTCTTCCTCCCCTTTCACCTCCCCCCTGGCCCTCCACTCCCATTTTTTGTTGGTGGTGATGTTGAGTTTCTTTGGCACGTCCTCCGTGCTGGGTGAGCTCGCGCGTGGCCAGGACACCGGGCATGACGAGTCGCAGGAGGATCAAGTGCACAGGAGAACGAGGGGGAGGAGGAGGAAGAGGAGGACGAGGAGGAGGAGGAGGAATAATAATAAAAATAATAAGAAAAATCATAATAATGAAAAGAAGAAGACGAATCATACGAACAACAATAATTATAATGATAAGAATAAGAAGAAGACGAAAACGAATAACACAAATAATAAGAATAATACTCAGAAGAAGAGTAATACTAATAATAAAAATAATCGTAATACTAAGAATGCAAATAATAAGACTACTAACGATAATAATAATAATAATAATAATAAGAATAATAATAATAACACTAATAATACTAATAATAATAATAGTAATAATAATACTAATAATAATAACAATAATAATAATACTAATAATAATAATACGATGAAGAAGCCGAATAATGAGAATAATCCTAATGAAATTAGTAATAACAAGAAGACGACTAATGATAATACGACGATAATAATAAGAGGAGGAGGAGGCGGAGGAGGAGGAGAATGATGCAGCATTGAGGAGATGAGTAATATGCAGGAGTGTGAGGCTGTGGGATAGAATACTGATGTGGGAGGAGAGGAAGAGGAGGAGGACCAGGAGGAGGAGGAGGAGGAGGAGGAGGAGGAGGAGGAGGAGGAGGAGGAGGAGGAGGAGGAGGAGGAGGAGGAGGAGGAGGAGGAGGAGGAGCGAGGATGAGAAGGGCAGGGACGACAACGTTGAGGTAAAAGGGAGAGAGAGGTGACAGGAGGAGGTAATAGAGGATGCGGGAAGGGTTCCGACCACATCCGCCACCGTGCCTCGAGGAACGGGGTGGAGCGTGCTGTAGATAGGCTTCTAAAGGGCCCACAGCCCAGAGCCTCGTGCGCGGCCCCAGGCCTTGTCGCGTGCTCTCACCAGACTTCTCCAGAGGTCGTGGGCGCATATCCGTATCCAGCGGAGGAGGAGGAGGAGGAGGAGGGAGGAGAGGAGGAGGAGGAGGAGGAGGAGGAGGAGGAGGAGGAGGAGGAGGAGGAGGAGGAGGAGGAGGAGGAGTAGCGTGGAGAAGGAGGAGCAGGTAGTAGAGGGGGAGGGAGGAGGAGGAGGAGAGGAGGAGGAGGAGGAGGAGGAGGAGGAGGGGGGGGGAGGAGGATGAGGAGGAGGAGGAGGAGGAGGAGGAGGAGGAGGAGGAGGAGGAGGAGGAGGAGGAGGAGGAGGAGGAGGAGGAGGAGGAGGAGGAGGAGGAGGAGGAGGCGGAGGACGAGGAGCGAGGAGGAGGAGGAGAGAGGAGGAGCGAGGAGGAGGAGGAGGAGGAGGGCGAGGAGGAGGAGGAGGAGGGTGAGGAGGAGGAAGGAGGAGGAGGAGGAGGAGGAGGGATGAGGAGGGAGGAGGAGGGAGGAGGAGGAGGGAGGAGAAGCGAGGAGGATGAGGAGGAGCGAGGAGGAGCGAGGAGTTGGAGGAGCGAGGATGAGCGAGGAGGAACGAAGATGAGGAGCGAGGAGGAGGAGGAGCCTTCCAGCCCCGCGGTGCCCCGCCGCGATGGCCCAGCGCCTGCGTGCCCTCCTCGCCTCGCCGCGGGGCTCCGGCGCCGCGCCGCTGCTGGAGGCCGCCCTGGAGCGCCAGGCGCGCCTGCCGCGCACCGCGCCGCCCCCGCGGCGCGCGGCGCTGGCGCGCGCCTGGGCCTCTGCGCGCCCAGCGGACCCCAGCGCCGCCCTCGAGGCGGCGGGAGGGATGAGGATGAGGATGAGGATGATGAAGGTGAGGATGAGGATGAGGATGATGAAGCTGAGGATGGGGATGAGAATGAGGAAGATGAGGATGATAAGGATGATGAGGATGAGGATGAGGAGGATTATGATTATGATTAGGATGACGAGGATGAGGATGAGGATGAGGATAAGGATGCTGATGATGACGATAATGAGGATGCTGATAGTGATGATGCTGATGCTGATGCTGTTGCTGATGCTGCTGATGATGATGGTGGTGATGATGATTGTGGTGGTGGTGATGATGCTGCTCATGATGACGATACTGATGGTGGTGGTGGGGATGATGATGCTGCTGCTGATGATGAAGAAGATGATTAATCTGCTGCTGCTGCTGATGGTGATGATGATGACGGCGACGAGGATGATGAGGCGGCTGAGGAGGATGATCAGGGGGAGGAGGAGGAGGATGAGGAGGATGAGGAGGAGGAGGAGGGGAAGGAGCGAGGAAGGTTGCGAAGGAGTGACGACGACGATGATGACGATGGATGGTGATGATGATGATGATGATGATGATGATGATGATGATGATGATGATGATGATGATGATGATCATGATCATGATCATGATCATGATGATGATGTTGGCCGTGATGATAATGTGGCTAATGATGATGATGAGGAGGATGATGATACTGCTGCTGGTGATGATGCTGGTGCTGATGCTGGTGCTGATGGTGGTGATGATGATGCTGATGATGCTGATGATGCTGATAATGCTGATGCTGCTGCTGATGCTGATAATGTTGACGAGGACGATGATGAGGCTGATGATGATGATCATCTGATGATGACGGTGATGATGATGCTGAGGATGGTGGTGAAGATGATCATGGTGGTACCCATAATGATAATGATGATGCTGATGCTGATGCTGATGATACTGCTCCTTCTGCTGATGATGAAGATGATGATGGTTATGATGAAGATGACGATCATGCTGATGATACTCATGATGCTGCTGGTGATGCTGTTGATGATGATGATGATGATGATGATGATGATGATGATGATGATGATGATGATGATGATGATGATGCTGGATGATGGTTATGATGATGGTGAAGATGATGATGGTGTTATCGATGATGATGTTGACTATGACGATGATAATATTGATGACGATAATGATGCTGATGCTGATGGTGCTGCTGCTGCTGCTCATGCTGATGATGATGATGCTGACGATGAAGCTGTTTCGGATTCTTCTGCTGCTGCTGTTGCGGATGATTATGATGATGCTGATGGTGTTGGCGATAATGAGGTTGCTGATGCTGGTGATGCTGAAGATGGTGACGCTGATGATGATTATGCTGATGTTGCTAATGCTGATGCTGATGCTGATGATGATGATTCTGCTGCTGCTGCCGCTGATGATGATGATGATGATGATGATGACGACGATGCTGATGATGTTGCTGATGCTGACGATGATGACGATACTGACGATGATGATGTTGACGGTGCTGATGATGATGCTGATGATGGTGCTGATGATGTTGATGATGCTGATGATGATGCTGTTGATGATGAGGATGACGATGCTGCTGACGATGATGATGATGATGCTGATGATGATGATGAGGATGCTGCTGACGGTGACGATGATGCTGATGATGATGATGATGGTGATGATGATGGTGATGATGATGATGATGATATTGACGATGATGGTGCTGATGACGGCGATGAGAATGATGCAGATGCTGATGATGCTGATGATGCTGCTGATGATGCTGATGCTGCTGATGCTGCTGCTGATGATGCTGTTGTTGACGGTCACAAGGCTGATGGTGGTGATGATGGTGGTGAGGAAAAGGTGATGGTGATGACGACGCTGACGATGATGATGATGATGATGATGATGATGATGATGATGATGATGATGATGATGATGATGATGATGCTGATGACAACGATGATGATGATGATGATGATGATGATGGTGATGCTGATGATGATGATGGTGATGACGACGATGATGCTGCTGCTGCTGAGGATGACGATGATGATGATGATGATGATGATGATGATGCTGAGGTTGATTATTATCAAGACGAAGATGTTGATGACGATGGCGCTGATGATGCGGATGCTGATGATGATGGTGATGATGATGATGCTAATGGTGATGATGATGATGATGATGATGATGATGATGATGATGATGATGATGATGCTGTCGCTGATGATGATGATGATGATGACGACGATGATGATGATGATGATGATGATGATGATGATGATGATGATGATGATGATCATGATGATGATGATGATGCTGACGATGATGATGCTGATGATGATGATGATGATGATGATGATGATGATGGTGATGCTGATGATGATGCTGACGATTACGAGTATGACGTTGATGATGATGACGACGATGCTGATGATGTTGCTGATGCTGACGATGATGATGATGCTGATGCTGATGCAGATGCTGATCATGATGATGACGATGCTGATGATGATGATTGTGGTGGTGGTGGTGGTGGTGATGATGATGCTGATGATGATGATGATGACGATGATGATGATGATAATGCTGCTGATGCTGATGATGATGCTGATGATGCTGATGATGATGATGAGGATGAGGATGAGGATGATGATGATGATGATGATGATGATGATGATGATGATGATGATGATGATGATGATGATGATGATGATGATGATGAGATGATGATGATGATGATGATGATGATGATGTGAGATGTTGATGATCTACCGATGTTGATGACGATGGCGACGCTGTTTGTGGTGGTGGTGGTGGTAGTGGTAGTGTTGGTGGAGGAGGGGGAACATGAGGAGGATGGGGAGGAAGAGGATGCGTAGGAGGGACGGACGAGGGGGATGCGGGAGAGGAGGAGGAACATGAGGAGGATGGGGAGGAAGAGGAGGAGGAGGGGGAGGACGAGCAGGCGGACCGATGATGAGCGAGTTGGAGCAGTTCGAGGAGGAGGATGAGGGGGAGGAGGGGGGCAGGAGAGGAGGAGGAAGCGTATATACGAGAAGGAGGAGGAGGAGGAGGAGGAGGAGGAGGATGAGGCGGCGGAGGCGGAGGCGGAGGAGGAGGAGGAGGAGGAGGAGGATGCGGAGGAGGAGGAGGAGGAGGAGGAGGACGAATAAGAAGAAGGAGACGCATAATAATAATAATAATAATAATAATAATAATAATAATAATAATAGTAATAATAATAATAATACTAATAATACTAGCAATAATAAGAACAATCATACTACTAGGAGCAACACTAAGAACAAGC